TGGCTGACACTGACAAAGATTCTACAATTTGAGGTACAGGATCTCAGCATAAATCCTGAGGGGATTTCACTGACTTTACAGACCCAAAAGCTACAACTCTTGTTGCATAGGTCCTGCTTTACCTTGGTCTTAACTGTCCAGCAGAAAAGTGTAAAATCGAAGTATAATAAATAAAGCTATGGTGTTATGTTGAGCTGTAGGGGACTCAGGTCAACAATTTCTGACATTGCCAGTCAAGTGGAAGACCCAATATTATTATGGACTACTGGACTCTTTTAGAATATTTTGCTGAGTTAACACACCTATAATATTCAAGTAACAGAACTAAACAAAAAAAGGGGGATACAGATGAATATCCATTTTGTATTTGTGTATTCAAAGTTGTTAGGATAGATAGTTACATTGTCTTAATGAATGGAGGGATTTGTTCTAATGGTGTTTATAAATAGGATATCATGTCCGCATCTTGTACAGCGGTTAACCACTAGAAAGAATGTATGCAATGTGTAGATTATTGAAACTGCCCTACCAATTTGATTTGAAACTGTCTCGTTGCTATTTGTTTCTCGACAAAATTATGGGGAAAAAAATAAAGTGGGGAGAAAAACCATGGGGAAAAAATGTCACATGCTATATGAATATAATATACAGATTTACTACATTTATTTAAAAATAACATAAATGACATCAACATGTTTTTAAAATTTAAAAAGGATATGTGTATATATGAAACAATAGCGTTCAACTTAGTGACTCTTTTGGAAACATGTTAATGACCTAACCAACATCAACACAAAGTGAAGGAAATGTTTGCTTCTTCATTTAGATTATTTGATATAAACCAAAGGCAGAGTCTTTTTAGTAGGATAGTTAATGTTTAGTGTGTTTTATAAATTTGGTTTTATGAATCTTATATACTTTTATATGCTCTTTCAGTTTTTGATATTTTTTTTATTCTGAAGTTATTTTGTGTTAATGCTCCCATGAGTATGTTCTATTAACCAAGGAGTCTATAATGGTAGAGGGTTTTTTTTTTCAATATGTGATTATTATTGCAGTATACAGTTGTGTCTCATATTTCTACTTTGAACATGAATTTGTCC